TTGACATACAGGAAATCAGACTGAAAGCAGGGATGCTGTAAGATGGTGGAAGAGCCAAAATGTGGCAGCCACCACCGTGCAATCAAAGCCCTGCCCTTTTCATGTGCGTGTGTTAAAAAAAGGGGCCATCTTGACTTTTTTAAAACCCTCCCCTCTTCCCCAGTGTAGACGGTAGAGGGAACAGCCTTGAAGGACAGGAGGAAGAGCTGCTACCAAGGCAAAAGTCAGATAAGCGGGGCTTGAGGCCAGGCCAAGAAAATAATGTGAGGAAATGTCTCAGACAAGCCCCTCCCTAGTTCACATGAAGATAAAGTGAGGGAGGGGAAAGCACATTCAGACTTGCAAGATGCTGTTACAGTACAGTACACGCAGCCCTGACCTACATGCAATTGGTTTCTTAGTCTGATTACCTTGTTAGGCTGACATCTGGAGGCAACCCTGCTTCCGAGCCAAAAGAGTGTGTCTGTCTCGACTGAAGGAGGAGGGGAGTGTGCCCCAGCTGTCCAAGGGCTGCACTATTAGGCCTGTCCCCAGAGGAAACCTGTGCCTGAGGGTAGCTCAGGTTAGGCAGCGGCAGGGGCATTTGCCCCAACAGCTACAGGAACCTGAGAGGCTCCAGCCTTTGCCTGCCATGTGCTTGCTGTCATGTCAGCATCTGACTCAGCAAAAGCAAGGCCTGGTGCTGACCTAGGTTCCCCCCTCTCTCTGTTTGTCCCCTTTCTGTGGCCGGCCTTTGCTGAAAGACCCAGAACAATCCTGTCAGTGAAAAGGTAGCAACCGAAGCCATCTGCCTACACCCTACCACAGTCATGCGTCCTTGTTGCATTGAATTATAATTATGTAACCAACCCTGGGGGTGGCTGGCACCCTGAAGACGCTCCCATAGGTTAATAATGCTCATTTACCACCAATACCTTGGCATGCATTATTTATTTATGGGCATCGTTTTTATTGTATTTTAATTAGTATTTATTCTTGTTTTATTGTGGAGTCCTTGGGGTTCTCTGAGCTTGGTTGTTTTCTTGCAAACGTTTGCAAGAAAACA